AATATTAAGTTGCAACCTTATGCAAACCTCACTCATAAAAAGTAAGGTTGCAACCTTATGCAAACCTCACTCATAAAAAGTAAGGATAATCTATATTAATTGTTAAAATTACTTTGAATATTAAGTTGCAACCTTATGCAAACCTCACTCATAATAAGGATAATCTATATTAATTGCTGGACCACGTAAAAATCTCAACTGTCTAACTTGGTTTCACGGTGGAGATAGCAGGGGCACCCTACCATTCTAATACGACTAAGGACTATACATCCAATAACGGCCATAGAAACTAGGGGTACCCAGACCCGACTTGGGACCCGTCGGGTATCCTGACACGGGTTTTGGTATGGGTCTGTTGGAGATACTTTAAGCCCTATCCGTTTGAGCGTATTAAGGATCGTATACATTAAAAACTCAGTCATCTTTAGCTATTAAAAGACAAATCAAAACGGCTTCAAATCTAATGGTGGGTGATTATGACTTTGTTGCCAATAATATGGAAATATAATGGTAAAAAATGACAATAAAAAAAAAGAAAAAGTTTATATAGAGCCGAGGCTCTTAACAATTAAATTAGAGCCATGTCAAATTTCTTTCATGAGCCCTTGCCACCTAAAACTCTAAATTGATTTAGAAGGGGAATCGGTTGCCCTGAAATCCTCATATATATATATATATATATATATATATTAAGTTTATCTAGCACGTGTGCATGGGATGAATGATCCACCCTACTGAACGGTAGAACAAAAATCATGTAGCTATCACTAAATAAGAGGGATAAGAGTTTGATGATGATGATAAGGGTTTAAAACCATTTTATATATTTTTATACTTTACGTTCAAGTATCACTTGTAATTTGCACTTGATTTTTTATTTCATTGGAATTTTTAGAAATATTTTTCTTTTTATTTATTCGATTCTATTGTTTTATAATTTTCACATGTGCACTATAAGGAGTATGGGCACCAAAATGAAAGGTTAAAAGAATTTACAGAAGAAAAATAAAATAAAATAAAATACAATACACAATCTCGCAATTGAGATCAAGATATAAAATATAAACTAAAAAAAAGTATTTTTGAATCCTAATTATAAATGGACAAGCTTTATCTGCTTCCTCTATAGCATAAAAGTTCTATCCTCCCCTTTATATGACCATTCATTTTGAATGGAGGGCTAAGATTGCTCTAATCACAATGTCACGTCTCTACCCTATTTTATTTTAATTTTTTTCTATAAATTATTTTGACACCAAATTTTGGACATCAATTCTTCTATTAAACTCACACTAGCAAAAAATATAAAAAAATTATTTTCAAAAAAGTAAAATGACCAAAATATCTTTAAAAGTTTTAAGAAGTATTTTAGGTATTTTAGTCATTATATTTTATTGAAAAATAATTTTTAATATTTTTTTATAGATACGCTCCAATGAAAAAATGACACTTATCAAATTTTATATTTATATAATTTTTATAAAAAAAATAAAAATAAAATAATTTAAAATGTCAATTCTAAAATCAAATAGTAAGTGCCTCTCTTAATCAAAATGAGAAGTAGAGAGTGGATAGAACTTATATGCGATAGGAGAAGCCTATAAACCTTTCCCGCTATAAATTGAGAACTTTCCGTTAATTCATCATCAGCCCACTCGTGGATTAAAAAAACAAACAAATACTGAAATTGCTTTTAAATAAAGAGTAAGAAAAAAGAAGAAAAAAATGACTCGCCTATTTTGCCTATCTTTCGGTACACTGTATTTCTATAGCCCATAGTTATATGGTCTGCGTCCATGGCGGTTGCGTTTTAAGCCTTCCTTCTCTCTTTGGCGGTAAACATTAAGACCCTTCCTGCCCCTCTCTCTCTCTCTCTCTCTCTCTCTCTACGCGGATGGAAGGCTGGTAGCGCGCAAGTGTATTCTCTCTCTCAAAAATGGCGGATCATCTACGAGACCAGACCCCGGAGAAAAATCAGCATTCGGAATGCGAGGAACCCACTCTCTCTCTAGAAAACCCTACTTCAAACCATGCGGCTGCCCCCCTACTGGTTCTTGGGGCTCCTCTCCACCTATGAATTACAGACCCATTAGAGCTCCTGCTCTTCTCTCTCCTCCAAACACCCAAGCCGTTCTTCTTGCTCCTGTACCTCAATCCCAAAAAGTCCCCATTGCTCAACCCCCTTACGATTTTCAAACCCCAACAAAGAAAATCCATTCACCTGAAGATATTACAAAATTCCATTCTTCTTTCTCAGGCTGCAACTTTTTAGGGTTCGTTGTTGCCCTAAGTGAGTCGATCAGGGGCCACAAGATATCTGATCCTTGCCCTGAATCTGAAACCATAAAAACCATTGGCTCGATTCTCCAAGAAATGATTGATTGGGTCGATGAAATCCCTCCTGTTCAGCAATCCTCAAGGTATGGGAACTTGGCTTTCAGGGATTGGCAGCTTCGATTGTCTCAGAGCGAGGAATTCATGCGTAGGATTCTTCCTGAAAATTTGAGTGAAGCTTCAATGGAGATCTTCTCTTACTTTCTTGATAGCTTTGGGAATTCTCAGAGGATTGATTATGGAACTGGCCATGAGACCAATTTTGCGGCCTGGCTTTATTGCCTTGCTCGTTTAGGGTTGATTACAGAGGAGGATTACCAGGCTGTGGTTTCTAGGGTTTTTGTGAAATACCTTGAGTTGATGAGGATGTTACAGCTTGTGTACTGTCTTGAACCAGCGGGGTCTCATGGAGTTTGGGGCCTTGATGACTACCATTTCTTACCATTTATTTTTGGGTCCTCTCAGTTGATTGATCACAAGTATATGAAGCCTAAATCCATTCATAACCAGGATATATTGGATAACTTCTCTCATGAGTACATGTATCTCTCTTGTGTTGCTTTTGTGAAGAAAGTTAAGAAAGGAATATTGGCTGAGCACTCACCTATGATCGATGATATCAGCGGGGTGCCTAATTGGAACAAGGTTAACAGTGGCATGCTAAAGATGTACAAAGCTGAAGTGCTCGAGAAGGTGCCCATCATGCAGCATTTCCTGTTTGGATCTCTGATTAAATGGTAAATATCCATGTCAAAGTTAATATCACAAGCAGTAAGTTTGGTTATGTATGGGACCTATATTTATTACTTTTTCTTATTCATGTTTTAAATCATTTTCCCGCAGGTGTATCAATTTTGAATTTTGTTCTGAAGAGGATATAAGATTTGTTTGGAAGATATTCACTAGGGTCTTCTATTTTTATTTTAATTTTGGCTTTCCATTTGTGTCTTTTTGTCGTTGTAAATCAACAGATTATGCTCTAATCTGGACTTGGCAATATCGGAATTGCTGGAGCAATGAATTAGTTAGGAATTTACTATTAATACATGCCCCTGAACTCCAATTGTGATGAATTGCTTATTAGAAACATTTTAAAAAAGTTCAAAACTTGCACTAAAGTGTTGTTTGTTTTGGTTCAGACAAGAAGAAGAAATAAAGGTGATAGAGTTGAAATTCTAAAATTCTCTCAATTTGGGGACAGTAACCTTCAATGCACAGATACGTGCATTCTAGGAATGCATAGTAAGAGGTTATATAAATGCGTAATTCTGCTGGAAATAGGATTAGCTGATGTTTAGATTCTAGGAATTCATAATCAGAGGTTTAAGTTTATAAATGCAAAATTCTACTGGAAATAGGCTTAGCTGATGTTTAGAATGTTTAAATGGAGCTTATGTAAGACCCACAGTCTAGCTTATGTAAGACCCACAGTCTTGCTCCTTGAAGATAATTCTAATTTATGGTTTGATTATTTTGACACATGGATCCTTATCAATACTAAGAGATATACGTACGCTTACCATCATGTTCAAGATATGAATGTTTGAACCTAAAGGTGTCACTTTTTTTTTTTCCTTTTTTTTTTTTTCAATGCAATGGACACATTTTATCTTTTCAATCTTGGAGTTTCTAGATTACTGATAAAAGAAATGGAAGTTTTAAATTATAAAATAAAAGAAAAGATATCTGGAGGGTCATATGGAGCTTAACTAACACAATTTTCTTCAATCAATTAGTTGTGCTTATCTCAAGGACTCGATCAAATTTTTGAAAGGTGGCCTTCACATTTCTAAGTGGTTGGTTGGTGTTAGTATTGTGTCCATGACTCATGGCATTTGCATTTAGATGTCAAGTTATGGTTCTATAGGCACATTGTTTAGGCTTTGTAAACTAAGTTTTGGTGTCTTTAACTGGGTATCAAGCCTCTTTTCCCACTACTAGCGCCAATTTTTGTTGCTTGGTATTATTGTGCAAGTATTTATGTTTGCTGGATTTTGTTTGCACTTGTTATCCACAATCCATCTCATTGTGATTTTCTTGCCACCTTGGGGCCGGATCAGTACTTAGTTCGATAAAGATAACATGTTCTTTGATATGTTCAGTTTTCTTCAGTTTTAGTGTATATTCCTTGGAAGTGTGGTGGTAGGAGTTCTAGAGAGTTATGAGGCATGCAGGTGCTTGGCCAAGGTCTTACTTGCGTAGGATGCAAGAGATTATGCTTCAAAATGATCCATATTGCCTTTAGGTGCTTCACCCTGTACATGCATATCACATTTGATACCATGTAATCTGTAACATATGCTAAAAAGTAATTATACACGCCTGTGAGTCACAAATGTTGTTGCCTGGATGAGTGCAATCTCTAGTACGTGTTTGACGGTCGATTTAAGCTTTCATTTGATTTCAATATTTGAACACCCAAGTGTAAAAGCTCAATGCTCGCAAGCTGCATGGAGGTTCCCTAGTTCTGATTTCTGAATATCTGGTCACATGCTGGCATGGTGGGGGTCTTCACACCCTGTCTATCAAGGAAGCTCAAAATGGAAACTTTGTGATTTCGGTTTTTGTGGACATTGTCAGATAGGTTTATGACTGGTCTCTATGATTGAGAAGGCAGTTTGGCAAGCCTGTTGGGCTTGATCTTGTGGCCTTGTTAATTAAAAAATCACATGTGTCCAAATTGCTAACTAGTAGAAAAATTTGATCAAGGCTTTAAACTTCCTCTCAATCACACTTAGCTCTTCATGCTGTTTCGGTTTTAGGGCATGTTCCCTAGGCTTTAGGGGCTTTAGACATTGGAGCATATGTTTCTCAAATTTGATCCTCATTTGATGGAGCCTTCTTTGGTAGTCTTTGCTACTTATTTCGCTATCATGGGGTCATTTTGAGGCATTTGTTGCGAAAGACTCATAATAAAAATGACATCATTATTCACACTCATATCACTATCTGATTCTTTGGGATACATATTTACCTTTTTAAATTATGTGTATTTGAATTTTACACTTATTTATATTTAATTCTATGCACAAATATGTTGAGGATCTGAGGTCAGATATGATTGTTATGAATGTCCTTATAACGTGTTTTAATGCCATTATGAATATATAAACATTATTTTGTCTTAATTCTTTCTGATATTTTATTTTAAATTTTACAAGATGTTTTACTACCCCCCCCCCCTCCCTTCACGCTCTCCAATTTTTGCTATTAGTTTACACTGCACCAACCCTTAGTTTTAGAAAAAGATTAACAGGTTCCTTTTCCTTCTTGTGTTTGTGTTTGTGTGTACAGTGGAGGTGGTCTAAAATTAAATACAAATTATAAAATATATGTTTTTTGGTCCAATGAAAAGATATGACCATCGAAGGACACTTATATTGAGTGCAGGCATGCACGCTGCATTCTAAAGTATATACATTGAATGCTTAAGCAAACTGGGGGGTTTGGGCTCCATGGAAGGCCACATCCTAGGTATGGCTTGGGGCAAACTGTCACTGTTCTAAGGCATAGTCTAAACCATGAGATGTATGAGTATTGCTGTTTGCTTTGGATTTTTGCATCCTGAGTAGTTCAAGCTTCTTCAGTTAGTTTCTTCTTGTTGAGTGGTCTTATGCAGAGAGCATTAGTATTCTTTGTTGAAACGTTTGCATGTATGCCATTTAATTTCTTCCTTTTAGAATTGAAGGCTTGGTTTTTTTCTTTGACCTGGTGGTTTGAGCATAATGCAGTCAGATCATCCATTGTCTGAATCCCTGAAAAGTTAAAAAATTGGAAAGAAATTGAAGGCTTTTTCTCGTTATGCTAGTCAATCGATAGTTGTTAAAAAACAGCTGTTACTTTTCTACGAGGGATCTTGGCAATCTAGATAGCCCGATCAGCATTGGAAAAGAAAGTGATTTACACTTTACACAACGCACGTGATGTCAGGGCTTATAGCATTGTAACCTTAATGAGCCCAAGGAACTTTTAAAAAATTGTGTTGGTAGATCATTTGTGCCCCCAAAAAGTAGCAATATGGTTCTATCAAGAAGGGTTGCATCTACAATTATTATCAGTGCTGGGGACAAGTCCACTCGGATTCACCCGAGTCAGTCGGGCTCGATACCGCGCAGATTCCGGAGCCAAACATATGGGAACTGCCCTAATTTGGCTGGTTTCCGGTATTTTAAATTATTTATTTTTATTTGGACTTGGCCAAGAGTCTGTCAGACCTGACTCAGGCTTGCGAGATACTAGTGAGTCCCGACCAGAGTCCTTGTTCTTGAAGCATGATCCCTCAGGCCCCTTGAGGTTAGATGGTCAGATACGCAATTGGCTTCTCTTGAGATGTGGTATGCTACGATGACACTTTCTTTAGGCCCTTATGAATATAAAATAAACGTTTTGGAGGTGCCATGGAGCTTATATGTTTTAAGAGGTCCATCACAACTTCATGTCACCTTCAATTCATAATTTGGGCACATAAATTAGTAACTTGTTGAACTCCACAGTTTATAGAGTCTACTTCTGCTTTATTATCAGAGTTATCCTCTTCTTGTTAATGAAAGCTAGAAACTCTCCTGTCATTTCATGAGTACACAAAAACGGGCCACCGCCCATGAGTTCTTCTTGGAACTCCCTTCCTAATTATTTCCCTCTGCACAGATGATCCATTGACGATTAATCTCGAGACCTGATCTCTGGCTTAGTCCATTGTGTTTCAACCAGGGTTAAGTTCGAGCTCAGTGGTCAACACTCTCTGCTGAAACAGAGTTGATTTGCTGAGTTTAACAGTTGGCTCCCAAAAACTCAGGAAGTTTGATTTATTGTGAAAGGCACAAAAGAATGTGAACACAAAAAGTATTGTATATGCTCAAGCATGGGCATATCCGGGTTTTTCGTATATAAAATGTGACAACTATCCGAGTCATGTTGACTTGGAGAGTTCTTCTGAGTTGAAAACAATTTCTATTTACTGGTTTTAACTATTCTTGGAACATTGCCTAGGAATTGTTTTATTCCCAAGTTCTCAACATGTTTAGTGTTTCTATATCCTTGCCTGAGCTATAGTAACTACTCTCATATTAGAGTTAATTGAATTAGTCATGGAACAATTCTTATCTAAAAATGAACATTTTGTTATTGCTGTGATCAATGTTATATCATTATAGACTCTGCATGTTCTCGGTCAGCTGGTTCCACTATTACTGATTTTATCTCTATAAGCAAATCCCCTGTCATTGGCGTAGCTTTTCTGCTTTATGCTTCTATGGATCATTTGGCTAGTTTCCATCATCTTCATTGCTCCACTTTGGTAACAAATGTATTCACTTCATCTACGTACCATATCGATAAAGTTGGAATTTATTATCTTCACTGACTCTTTCTAATGCTCATATGATCCTGGCTTGACAAGAACTGTCCTCCGCCATATTTATTTTCAGAATGTCGAGATGAGACCTATTATTCATTTGGATAGAAACGGATGAAGTGTATTTTCTTAGATTGTGCCACATATAACCATGATGGTCACCATGGTATTTTGCAAGTGGAATTTCATAATTTATTTTGGTTTTCACTTAGAAGTTGCCCATGGTTGTAATTGCAGAAGAATCTTGGACGTCTTAATAATTTGGAGAATAAATCAGATGATTTCTGAGACTACTATCAGTCTTCAGTTGCTTCCGAGAGGAACTGTCCCATTCATTTATTGCACTTACCCTAAAAATATTAAGCATTAGTTTTAGTAGTAAATACCCATCTCTGAACTTTTTGTCAAATATAACGTTATGATCTTATTCTTTAGTCTTCTAGCAGTTTTAAGTTGTAATATTGCAATGCTTGTTAGTCTAATAGATATCATCATAGAACATACTGTTCTGCTCATCCAAGACTCAGAATGTCAGGAAAATTACCATTGTCTTACTGCAATAATGGCATCCTCTCTGCATTTCACTCTGTAAATTGCCTGTAAACAACTACTTATTTATATTATCTTTTTTTATCAGTGGTATAATTATGTTACTTTTCGCATCTTTGCAGGGAATGAGTTTGGGCAATGCATTCATTTCACCATGTTGAATTGAAGAAAGCATGTCAGCCATCTTATGCAGATTTGATACATCGATCTGAATGGACTTGGTTATTTGTACTTCCCTTTTTGAATGCCTGGCTAGGCTTCGCACTTTGACGTCACTAACATGGTGTAGGTAAGATGTATTTTTCTTGTTATAGAGAAGAAATTTAGTCTTGAAAGAGCCGTGTGGATGTTGCATTTGGCTCAAGGATTCTCCCAAATATTACAGAGAGATAGAGTGCGAGATGGTGAACAATCCACGTTGAAAATGTGCTCAGGCCTCATACCCGTGGGCAATCCAACGGCTGTTGTTCGCCCCTGGGTAGACGAAATTTATATTTCTTCTAAAACATGAAACATCAAGGTGTACTAGAAATAAGTCTTTCCAAGCTTGTATGTTTTTTTTGCATAGGTCAAGAAATTAAAGGGAG